AGACAAGTTGATAAAATAAATTTAAAAAAATATCAATTTGACCTTCAGATAAATCTATCGAGCTTGAGGGAGAGGTCAGAGGTCAAATGTGACATGATATTGTAAAACGGTGCTTTCTGTATGTTGGCACATACAGCACATTTGTAACAATCCCAGTTTAAAAAAAAGTCTAAAGCTTTTTGCTCCTCAGTTTTCTACCAATAAATCCTTCAGCTGAGCTTGAAGACATCGGTGGATTTAAGTCAAATGTTAACATGACGCAGACAAAGTTTCCAGGAGTTCAGAAGGTTTTGTGTTTACAGCAGATGTAATATAAACAAACAACAAAACATTGCGAGAAATCTTCATCTCAGGCAACAGCTGAACTCCTCACTGACTCCCAGCAGATAACAGCTGTTTACAGCTGTGCCAGAAATGATTGGAAAGAAAAAGCATCGTGATTTGCATTTAAAAAGGGGCTCGCTGGGTTACCTGCCAACTTTCCTGTTTTACAACTGGCACAAACAGATCACTTCACAGCTGTTTCTGTGCTGCTTTTAAAATTCCTCTGAAAAGTCATAAAGCATCAGTTCAGCTGCATTTTACTCTGCTGCTTACTGGAAACAAAACTTCTGATGCAGATAATAACAGAGACACATCATGATGATTTCTTTCACAAAGCTGGTTTTCAGTTTCAGTTCATCTATTATAAATGTTTTAGGTTCTTTCTTCTACACATCAACCAAAAACACCATATTCACCGTTATGCTGACGACACTCAGTTTTATCTACTTGTCACCTGTGACCTTCTACATTTGGGTGAAAACCCAACGTATCTGAATTAAATTATAGTGGGAATGGCAGCTTTGGACCCTGAGCTCAAACAACATCAGCTCTGCTAAGTGTGAATCCAGTTTGAACGATAAATGAAAACCTCACAGTTCTTGCATAAGGAGGACAGCTTTTACCAGACAAACCACTGATATATTAAAACAGCTTTTACATCTTAAGCAAACAGTAAGTGATGCTGCTGTGACTTCCAGCCTGGAGTACGTTTGGTTTGTCCGACTCTTTGGTTCAAATAGCAGCTACTTTGCTTTTAATCGGTACAGAGAAAAGACGACACATCACTTCAGTTTTAGCTCAGCTGCACTGGTTAGCTGTGGAATCAGGATTTGTTTACATTTTATTTTTAAAGCTCTTCATGGATCAGCTCAGCTGTATGTTGCAGTAACTCCACATTTTGCTGCCAGTTCACTGGAGTCATCCTCACCAGTTTCCCTCAGTGCCCCCCCTAACCTAAAAACTGACAGGTCTTCTCTGTTCTTGCCTCCTGGCTCTGATTAATCTGTCATCCCACATAAAGTCAAACAGCTGACAACTTTAAATCAGTTCCTGCTTCCAGTCGAGCCTGAGGTGCCTCACGGTTTGTATCAAGTGTATTTTTTTACTTGTAGATTTGTTTAACGTAATAATTTTCCAACCATATTTATTCAGTATTTTTCCTTAGCTTCACTTCCACCCATCTATCCTGGAGCCAATCCCAGGTGTCACAGGCTGAGACTGGGATACACAGAGAGACAGAATCACCAACTAACCTCGGACACGTCTTTGTCTTTGTGAGGAACCTGGAGCACCTGATGACATCGCACGCAGCTACAGCAAGAGCATGTAAAGGCCTCAGTTGGTCTGTGGATATGAATCATGTGTATGTGGCTTTTTTATTTTGTGCTTATAATTTCTGGTGATATATTCTCCCCTAACTGGAACACACTTTGGGTTGCTGCCTGTTATATATGGAACTGCACTTGATGCAATAAAATGAAGAAGTGTTTTTCACCCAAACTACCTCTGCAACACTTAGAACCAACGCTTTCTCCAACCTAAACTTGAAAAGTGTGAAATAATGGAAAAGCAGACTGAGGCGCCACACACAGCAGGCTTCACTCACTTCACTCTGAAGTTCAGTCACTTCTTTGACGCGTTTGGTCTCCAGAGTTTCGGGCAGTTTGGAGTAAAGAGACGACGCCGTGTGCTGCTTACCTGCCTGCTTGTACTTCACCTGTCAAACAAACACACACTTTAAATCAGAATCACACTCTCACAACTTCATCCTGCCTCAAACGGTTTCCCAGCTACTCATGACTGGAAATATCTCATCCTTCACTGAGCAGTGTTATCAGCTCTGCAGGCCACTGGGAGTTAATTTAGTAACCACTCTGTGACATCACCAGCTGCATCCAATAGGATGAACTGTTTGACCCTGTGCAGCTAAGACATGAATGTGGGAAAACGGACAGAGCTGACTGAATTCTGTTGGACTTCATTTACTGTTTTCTAGTTTATTTCTACTGGATGCTGATGATTGTTATTACCTGATAAACACAAAAGTTTAATGGGTTTAAACTGAGACTTTGTCCTCATCGCTGAGCTGTCCAACACGCTGCAGGACGCCTCAGCTCAGCTCTGATTGCACACATACTACACTAGTCTTTGATATGTTTTTCGTACATGCTTAAAAAACGTTTCTATTTTCAAACCTTTGTGTCATAAATTTCTACAATGACTTAATAAATACAGCCATTAGAAAAAGATCTGCTGCTGATATTTCCTTTTTTAGTTTGATTGTAACCATCTGTGTCTCATTTTATAACTTCCCTGATTCCTCTTTGTGTATAAATAGTCCTGTCTTCTCTTTGTGTATAAATAGTCCTGTCTTCCCTTCGGTCTTTGTCTCCTATACTTCCCTGTTTGTACTCCTGCAGTTTGATGGCTTGAGCCCAAATAAAGATGCATTTAGTTCATCTCGTCAGCTTTGGTCTCCTGCTTTTAGACTCCAGTCGGTCGCAGCAAGGTGTGCAAATCTCATCCTGATATTTCAGACAGTCAAGAGGATTCACTCTGAGGAGAAAAACCAGAGCTCCCACCTCGCTGTGCGTCTCAGCCATCTCTTTAACAAACTGAGTCTCCAGAGTTTCGGGCAGCAGCGAGTACAAAGTGTTGGGCAGATCCTCTTTGTCCTGTTTGTACTTTGCCTTCAAAGAGGAATAAACACAAATCAATGAACAGAAATAAGAGAACACTGAAGTGCACAGGAGAATGAAAGATATCAGTGATGAGAGAGAGCGGAGCCGCACCACGCTCTGGATCTCCGACATCTGCTTGGCAAACTGCATCTCTGGTGTTTCAGGCATGAGGTGGAAGAGCGAGGAGGACGTTTCCTTCTTACAGGCCTCCTTGTATTTCACCTGCACCACAAACCAAACAAACACATCTCTGTTAATGTGCAATAAAACACTCATAACTCCACTTTAAGTTCAGACATTTCTGTCTTCAGTTATTTTCACTACAGCAAACGTTTTCTTAACTTTGAGCAGTGATTAGAGGAAGTCTAGCTGAGTCAGCCTGACTAACGTCTTATTTTTGGCAAACCTTCCTCCTCCTCAGATAACAGAAGCTGCAGCAGAAACACTTCGTGACAGCTCGACAGACACAGCATGAACTCGTTCACAGCAGGAAACCTTAAAGGTCACCAGGAACAACTGGACATGCACTTCTATTCAGTCACATCATCAACAAGCACTGCAGGAAAATATGGACTGTATCATCTTAACGTTCACTGAGACTTTGAACTCGTCTGTTACCCAGTGAGAAAGATTTGCTTTCATGTCATGTTAAGTAAAATATCATTGAAATAGTTTCCCAGACTTTTTGTGCTTTTGCAGCAGCTTCAAACAAAACAGTGTTTGATTCAGAGGAACTTCAGAATGAGTGTTCACACAGATCAGATTAAAGAAAAGGCTGATTGGGAAGGTTTCAGACTCCAGAAAAGTGTCCTGCTGAATCAAAGCCTCTGTGTTGAGGCACAGCAGTGGCTGGATGAGTGTTTGTCACCTGACTCTGCAGCTCCGTCACGTCTCTGGCCCGCTCAGTCTGCAGGGTTTGAGGAAGGCTGGAGAACAAAGTGGACGACAGCTCCTTCTGCCCGTCCTCTTTGTACTTCACCTGCAGGGTCAACACAACTGTTTTTATGTTCTTTTATTTTCTTTTTACTTTGATTGAAAACTTAAACTGAGTAGTGAAAAGGCGTTCAGGGTTTGAGTCAGGAGAGAGCATGTTTCTGAAGAGAAAGGACTGTGTCTGGCAGCAGGAGAGCACCGAGCTGCCACCATTCACATCCAGTGATGAAGGACGTGGTTTGCATTAAATTAAAGAAATACTTTAATTTCTTTGCACTGAATAACTGTGGCCTGACTCTTTTGTTCTAGTTTTAGCTGAAAAATTGTTTCAAAATAAAAGCGATGCCAAAGTTGGAGACTTCACTGCACCATCTGCCAGCTTTGCCTCTCTTTCCATGAGGTTTGACAACTCATGGAAGGAGAGGGAGACTAAAACTGGTGACCTTTAACTCCTGAAACCTCCCACTTTTAAAATCCCACTAAGCTAACTGATCCAAACACTGACTGCGTAGCAGGGTATAATAATAATAATGATAGCAGGAGGCGATGGATGTGACAGTTTAGAAAATAAAGTTCACCGTGCAGCACACAGTGAGACAGTTTGCATGCAAATACGAGTAAATTACACAAAGATTTTTTTTGTATTTAAAAGAACAACTTGCCAGTAACTAGTCTGCATGTAAAGAAGACGTGTGGCTGCTCAAAACCACTTAGAAACCAAATAAACTGTCAGTCAAATGTTTGATACTTCAATGAAAGACGTTTGATTTCTTAATTGCATTCAATAATTCTCACTTTGTAAGACACTGAGTGAACTTTTATTGTACATGGACACAAATACCACAAGCATAACATATAAGACACATAAGATTTCCCTCATTCTTCTGTCCCTTTCCTCTTTTTTATTATTTTTTAAAGCTATTTTAACCTCCTAGGACCTGCATCCACATATGTGGACATCACATTTTGGG